GAGATTATGTGGTTCGGGAAAACAATTCACATTAACAGTAACTATGTCCAGTATATGGTCAGGAATGATGTCCGCCTGAATCGATTCGATAAATTAGTATACATATCGCTAGATTAATCGGAATAAGACGAGCGATAACAGACAAATACAGAAAGTAGTTCCATATAAACGCGGACCCGTATACCGAAAAGGAGAATCTTTCTAGGAAGCCGTAAACGGCCTCTATGACAACAGTTTAAGCTTAACCGTTATTTACTGTAATCGGTGACAGTTCACACACCTGTTTCAAGTCTTCGTACCGACCAACGGCAGACACTGTTTTCCCTTGAACCACAATATAGGAATTCGTGGACAATTCAAGAGCCTTTAACGTCTCGCCCTCGTATCCGATGAGACGATTACGTCGTTTGATGAAACGCTCTCGGTTAGCCAGATTGATTTCGATGATATCCGCGAAAATATCATCTTGCAAGACACGGATTGCCTGTTCAAAAGGGACTGACCGAGCAAGCAGACGAATGACATCACGAGCTTTCAGAATAATGAACGGGTCAAATGTTTTTGGTGTTGTTCGAACTTCCATCGAACTTTCCGTAAGATCCAGTTCGGCACGGATGTGCTAATTAGACGAGAAGAAGGGAAGAGGGCACCTAACATGAAATATCATCACATGAATAAAGCTGAGATTGTTTTCGAGCCGTTTTGATTCTATATCAATGGCAGGAGTAAAAATAGTATCACATCATCCATCCTCTCTTCGTGTTTGATATAAATAAATTGAAAGCGAACTGCATGAGAGGCAACGCTCAGTCTTAATTATGGAGTGTTTTCCAATATTATAATTCAATCTTTGGTTAAAAATATGCAAAAAAACGAATTTTTTGGTGGCAATGCTTGAAAGGTGTGTTTAGATCGGAGAAATGTGTTGTAATCGAGATATTTTGCAGTGTAGCTACACCTACTCCGTTCAAAGCCACCGACAAGTTCAAATTACTAAATCAGTTTCAGTTTTTATAACCGTTAACAATGCATGCACCGGTTTGGGCCGCTATCTTTTGATTGCCCATTTAGATAACAGAGCAGAATGAAGACTGAAATGTTCAGGTCAGTCAAACAGAAGACAGAGAATTCATACACACTGAGACTGCAAGAATATGGAGTAGATGCACGAGCCTTACTAGTTGCGACACTCAGCCATATCACTTAGTGTCTCTAACCACCGGTTAACTTGATCTTGGAGTCCCCATCAGTAGAGCTTAACGGTACCTATGTGACAGTGTATTTCACACGTCTGAATCTAGACTGTTAAACAAAGCACGGTACAATAACCTTTGTAAAAAGAAAAGGGTACAGGATTTGCTTGAGGGCACGATACTGCTAGGTTGCCCAGGCCAAAGCAAGTGAATTTGCTTAGGGAATATACAACCGAAACCTTCGGCTGGCCAAAGCCTGACCCACAAGGCAGCGGGGCGGTGTGTGAAAACCGTGGTCAATTGGAGACCGGTGTCCAGTTCACCGGATCATACACCCATTGGACGGGATCAAGGTGCCCAATACACCTCGATACCCAATCCAGAAGGTGGCCACTACTACGACAAGGAAGGTGTGTGGTTCGTGCGCCTCCTCTTGGTTAGTTCGAAATCAGAGTTTTTACCCAACTCTCTTAAGTGCATTGCCAGTGGTTCACCGATGCGGTTAGAGTCCCGGATATTAGCTTTTCGTCCTCTCACTTTGATGGGAAAGTACCTCCGCCACGGAGAGGCAGTGAGTGGGGCTTCCACAGTAGAAGCAATTTGAGACGCTTGGTCGTACAGGTTCAGTTTCAGTTTGAACAACCATTAACCGCGCATATTCGCGCGCCGGTTTTGGTTGCTTTCTTTTGGCTGCCCATTTGGATGAAGAATAGGAGAAGAAAAGGAAGTTGAAAGTGGAGTCGAAAAGAAAATGGAGAAGTTCAGTGGTCTAAGGTTGCAAAGAAGTGAGGAGATGCACGAACGCCACTGTTTAAGACACCCAGCCATATCGTTCAGTGTCTCTAACCATCGGTTACGATCATCCCGAGGTCCCCAAGCCTAACAGGATCTATGTGACCCAGTTTCCTGGTTAGGATTTTCATACCCTCGAGCCAGGTCTTAGCTTGACCACCCTTGGCTTTTTTCCACCCGGTATCTGCTTTGGCGAACATCGTTCGCTGTAGGAAACCTACCTGGTGACATGCGTAACACGTCCCGGTCAACGTAATCTATGGTCGACCACTTGCTCCAGTGGGCGACCGTATTTACCCAAAACTCTGCCCCTAACCTCAGCATTGTTCATCCGGCCACCCCACCAGATTCGTGCAATGCTGTGTAGAAGGCAGTGTTCAAACACCGACAGTCTGTCTTTATCTTGTTTTCTTAATGGCCAANGCCGAACTACTGCAGCATACAATCGACCTTTCACAGACAGCCGGATTTCGCGATGGCGCCACAAATGTCTCAAGTTGGCAAATACCAACCGCGCCTTGTGTATGCGAACAGATACTTCATCCGTGATGCGTCCACCGGGTGAGATGTAGCTGCCCAAATAACAAAACTTATCCAAGTGCTCTATTACTTCCCCAGTTAGAGTGAGGCTGGGTACTGGACCAACCCAGTTTTGTAGTAACATTTTACACTTTGAAAATGCAAAACTCATACCGAATATGGTTACAATATCACTCAAGCTATCTAGAAAAGCTTGCAACTTATCTGGATCTTCACCCAGCACAATGCTGTCTACATATTCTAGATCAGGCAGCCTGCCACCGGGGAGTAGATCGGTGCCACTATCCTCGCAAGAGGATAGGGCTGTTTCCATAATCAGATCTATAACAAAGTTGAATAGAAAAGGAGAAAGAGGGCAACCCTGACGAACACCGTCGTGAACTCGGGAGAAAAAGTGCCGTAAGCTCGGACTCGACTTCGGCTATTAGTATAAAGCGATCGTAATATTGAAATTAACTTCTCGGGCACACCTTTCAGAGAAATGCAGCGCCAGAGTTTAGAGCGGTCGACTCAGTCGAAAGCCGCTTTCAGATCTAGGAAGACAAAGATGGTGGGTCTACGAAAAGAATGCC